TGAGCACTGATTCGGTGCCAGGCCCCACCCTTTAAGTGCATCTACCTATTTCAATTCATTGAATGTTCATAGACCATGTTCATAGACCACCTATGAAGAAAAAATAATTGTTATAGCAACTTACAGGTAAAGAAGCTGACACTCGGGGAAGTTGTGTTTTGGGTAAGCTGATAAAAGACTGAGCTGAGTTTCCACCAAGCAGTTCTGTGCAGTTGTGGCTCCAGGGAACTCTTAACCCTGGTCTCAGTGCCAAAGGCAGAGGTGGGGGAGGGGGGCAATGTGGGGATCTCTAAGAGCAGACAGAGTCATCAGCACTAACTGCTGAGGCTGCCCACCTGCAGAGGAAATTCGATGCAGATACCTTCTTTTTTTTTTTTTTAGACAGAGTTTTGCTCTTGTTCCCCAGGCTATAGTGCAGTGGCGTGATCTGGGCTCACTGTAACCTCCACCTCCTGGGTTCAAGCGATTCTCCTGCTTCAGCCTCCCAAGTGGCTGGGATTACAGGCATGCAACACCATGCCCGGCTAATTTTTAAAAATATTTTTAGTAGAGATGGGATTTCACCCTGTTGGCCAGGCCGGTTTCGAACTTCTGACCTCAAGTGATCCGCCCGCTTTAGCCTCCCAAAGTGGTGAGATTACAAGCGTGAGCCACAGCACCCGGCCCAGATACACTTTGTAAAAGTAAGATCTGGGGAAGATCCAGGTGATAGGAAGGTTTTCCAGGGACATGTCAGAATAGTAAGAGGAAATTGTTGATTGAGAAGAGGTGTGTGGTGTGATCTTGTCTGCTCGAAGCTGGGGAGTTGATGGTAAGGATATGTCAGCTTTCATCCAGCATTGTTGTCATTTATGACATTTTAAAGTGTCTAGAAGACTTCTCTGTGTCTGAGATGGGTGCTGAGAAAACATAGGCGTGTGTGGTTTCTGCATCTGGGGAGTTTACGGTCTGTACTAGTTAGCAAGCTTTTGTCTGCACTTGGTTAAGACAATAAAGAAATGTGACAAAGCCTATCCATTGGCTTGACTCCAGGCACTTGATGGTCCTTGACTCGTCCTCCAGGTTCCAGTCCTTTCCCGGCTTTGCCATTCCTGCAGGTCCTGTCTTCAGGAAGGTTCCAGTTCACATCCGGGCAGTATCCAGAGAAGGAAGGGAGACAGCCATCCCCTCGAGCTCCTTCTTGGGAGTGAACAGAATATGGAAGCTTGGAGGCCTCTTCGCAGACTCTCCCTCACCTCTCCTTAGCTGGAGTTGGGTTGGATGCTATATGGGAAATAGGATCACTATGATTGACTGAGACTAAAAAAAAAAAAAGAAAGAAAGAAAACCCAGTTAACATCATCCTTAAAGGTGAACGACTAAATGCTCTCCCCTGAGACTAGAAACAAGACAAGGATGTTGGCTCTCACCCCTTCTGTTCCACATTGCACTGCAAGTCCTAGCCAAAGCAATTCAACAAGAAAAAGAAATAAAAGGGCTGGGCGTGATGGCTCATGCCTGTAATGCCAGCACTTTGGGAGGCTGAGGCGGGTGGATCACCTGAGGTCAGGAGTTTGAGACCATCCTGGCCAACATGGTGAAACCTCATCTCTACTAAAAATACAGAAATTAGCTGGGTGTGATGGTGTGTGTCTGTAATCCCAGCTACTTGGGAGACTGAGGCAGGAGAATCGCTTGAACCCGGGAGGCAGAGGTTTCAGTGAGCCGAGATCACACCATTGCACTCCAGCCTGGGTGACGCAGTGAGACTCCATCTCATAAATAAATAAATAAATAAATAAATAAATAAATGGCATCCACATTAGAAAGGAAGAAGTTAAACGATCTTTGTTTGCAGATGACGTGACTTGTATATAGATAAGCCTGGGGACGCCACTAAAGTGGAGTAATTAAAACATGGATTCTGAAGGCAGTCGAGTGCAGGAGACACTGTAAATGCAGTGGTCTGAGCGTGTGTGTGTGAGCTTTGTGGGAAGTGTTTCCCAGG